GTAGAGCTATGATTTAGGATGGAGGGGAAAGGGAGAAGGAAATAAAAAGGAGAAAAAGACAAAAGAAAAACAGGATGCGAAGAAACTTTTAGGCAAGAAACGATCAATGACAAACCAAAACCTAACAGTTCCAAGCTTCATCCATATTCCCTTTATTTATTCTCAAAATCCACTCTCTCCTTCCAAAAGATAGAAAAGGTAGCGACATCATGATATCCTATTCCTTTCTTCTATACAATATAGACATCGAAACAAGAAAGCCCTTAACAGAGAGAGAGCACACCACAAGATGTCCAAGATCGATGATAGGTAAACAAAAGAAAACATCACGCAAAAAAGGTGGTCTAAACATTCCCAACTGATTCACATAAAACATCTCAGAGAGTCAAGGGAGCTTGCAGAAATATTTTCATATTTCCTCAAGAGAGTTTATCTTATGAAGGATTTCTAACCAAACAAGAAAATTGATTTTTCTTTTAATTCATATTTAAAACAATATAGATGGCACCCAGCAATTACCTTGCTTCAAGAAACACATCCTAGATGTCACACAAAACAAAATGATGTTCAATTTGAAGGAAATTTAAGTTGTTGAATACAGCTCATTGATGTCTTTATTAAGTTCAGTGTTCTTCAGTTCAAAGATGATAAGATTGGTTGGAAAATTGTGGTCTGGAAGAAGATCAGATTGACTGTTTTGTGCAATCTGGAAGTCAAAAGACCAAGAAAATCAGTGTGTTGGCTTGGATTATGCTTAATGGTCACCGTAAATATGGTTGAATCTCCCCAGAAAAAGGTTCCCAATTAAGCTTTGTAGCTCTCTATGAGTGTTTTTAGTTTTGCAGATAATTTAAGCCAACGTCTAAGTTTCCTTTCAATGCCCTTATGCATTACAGTGCTGGTTCTCTTTGTTTCATATTTTCCATATCCATTGGGTTTTCTTGAAAGACTTCAGAAGTAATCTATTTCAGCTTCTTCATGGGTCATCCTTGTCTTCCCAGGTGCATCTTTGGGTCAACGACATCAGATACATTTGATCTGAATTATGGTGCTTAAAGAACCAAAGAATTTTTGAAGATAAGAGCAATATGGATGGAATGTTTTGATATTGCTAAGCTTTAAGGCTTCTGTTTTCTTTTTTCTTTTTTTTCTTTTTTTTCTTTTTTTGTCTTATTCTCCTTGTGACATTTATATTATAGTAATTGCGGTGCTTTTATTCACTCCATAGGTTTCTTTGGATTTGTATTGGTTTTTTTTTTTTTCCACTCCTTCGGGAGTTTGTATCTTTGAACACTTTATCCTTTCTATTAATCAATGAAAAGTATGTTTCTTGTTCAAGAAAAATTGTAGTGTTATATAAACAAAATTCCAGCTGCTGAGATTTCAACAAAAATATTGTATGGGAGTAGAAAACAAAAGCCTTTTGGAGTGCACACTCTAAACATAAAGAATCAGAGTAATCAAGACAAACAATAAGCTTTTGTAACTAAAAACCAAGATAATTAAACCAACTATAATACAACAGCTTGATAACAAGAAAAACTGACCATTGATGGAGACAGCCTGTGCCTAATGATTCATTGATCCCAATTGAACACAGCAGAACATAAAAAGAGAGATCAAAGCAAGCAATGCAGTCAATAGAAACAAAGCTTATTCCATCATGGTGCCTAGGCCCAGATACCCTCCAGCCACAACAATATTGAATAAGAGAATAAACTGCAATATGAAGAATGAGAGACTTCACCCACCTTACCTAAAGCACAGCCAGTTGAAGTTTCATCATGAGCAATGTAGTTTGCCATATGGTAGATTAAGTAAACTGCTCCCCCCAATTGCAGCATTACGATGACTAGAGCAAAACGGGTCCACCAAAGCCATTTTTTATACCTCAACTGTTCATCAACCAGTACATTGAGAATAAATACATCAACACCATAACAGAAACAAACATAAATAATCCATTATACTTTACACCTGACAGCAACGGAATCTGAGGAAAAGGCCTACCCCCTAAAACCTGCCAAATTCAAACTACACTCTATCAAACAAAAAAAAGCTAAGTTGTCCAAGTTCTGACCACTTAACCTTATATTCTCAATAAACTTGTGGTTCGAGGATCAGGTGTGGAACCAACTAACCAAACTTAGACATTGATAACGCATCATAACAACCTATATTTCTCTATCACTGTCAAAAAAAGGAAGGCCAAAGACGCCAAGTTGCCACCATAGATTCATCGCTTTTAGGCCCAATTTCCTTCTTAAAACTAGACCCTTCAGACTACTGGATAACACCTTCAAATGGCTCAAGCTGTATGCACTTCAAATATTCAACCCCATCCTGCCAAGAACCCTCTCTTCAACCCACCACGGTAGAAAGCACATCCTCTTTTAAGCCCTTTATTCTCCCTAAAGCTTGCCTAAAATGTGGTTTCACCTAGTAACTACAAAGATGACACATTTGAAAACTTACCCAAACCACAGACAGAAACTTGTGGAGAGGAACCACTCAAGTCACCCTCCTTTTCTCATGTGCGATCAGAGCACTAACCTAAAACCAGTTATACCTTCATCCTTTGCAACTATCAATTGCCTACTACCTCAACCAGTGTTTTTTAAAGCTTGATGTGCAAGCACAATAGCCTTCTGACGCTTAGGTTCCAGGCATAAGAAAATGCAGCGGCAGTAAGAAATCCAACTTCTCTTTAAACGTTCTCCCATCCACTTCTTTCCATACCTTTTGAAACAATCAAGGAAGATCTTCCCTCCTACTCTACCACAATGACACAACCATCTCCCACTGCTGAACACAAATTAAACCTGAATGAGAGTTTCCAAGAGACAACTACTCCTAAAGAAACCCACCACGTTCGAAAGAGAAACAAGAATGGAGAGGCAGCCCCTCACTCATGCTAATGTACTCCGTCGAAGACTCATATTTGACACTCTCCCCTCACATATTTCCCTCTACCACCATGTTTTTCTCTACATATCTCTTACTACATTTAAATATCGTCCTTTCAATTTTCGCAACAAGGGGAAGTCCTTCCCAACTCTCACAGGCGAGAGAGAGGGATAGAGAGAGAGAGAGAGAGAGAGAGAGAGAGAGCAAGCTAGTCATCCCACTAATGGATTCATAACTAAGCTACTTCCAATACCATACACTAATATACATAACATTCCCCCTCAAGTTAGCTGCTCCATTATGTTTGTAAAAGTATATCTCAATTGCTTCTGAGTCTTCACATATTTTGTGAACTATAAAACTTGTTGTATATGTTCACTAGTAAAACGAAAGTAAGCTTCATGGCATATAGTTTGTTTATGAAATGCTTGATGAGAAACAGCAACGGGTGTTGCTTGGTTGTCACTAGTCACAACATCATAATGGAGCGATTGTAAATATTCGATGGTTATAAAACTAACCAAAACAACTATTGAAACAGATAAATAGACGCAGGGTTCGTTTTAGCTATGTGAGGCAGGAAAACAACAAACCATTGAACCTAAGTCCGTTTTGCTCTCGCAATACCAAATTCATGCTCATATTTCGTATCTAAAAACAAAAGTTGCCCCTAAAACCTGCTTCGTCAAATTCACAAAACAGAAGAATGAATGTAGAGAAAGTGGCCAAATACCCGTCTCTCGCGACGCATAACGGTGTCGACAACAGCAGCAGTATCACCAGGAGATTCAAGAATGGTTCTGGCCGTAGCCTCCTGAGCAATGCCGCTCTGAACCATGGCAACGATTCTGATGCATGAAACGACGGAGACCCCCACAAAGGGGAGGATATATTGGCGTTCACAAGCGGGATAAACAACGACGACGAGGAATACGCCAAGAAGGGCGACGGCGGCATTGGAAATGCCCAAAACAATTGTGGAGAACCGAATATTCTCTAGCTTTGACGCCCCCATAGCCTCCGTCCTACTTCGAATTGGACACCATGGCGATGGAAACGTGGGGACTGGCGATGGAATTTGATAGCTGGAATTCGAAGGAGAATCGGAGGGAATCAATGGTTCGTGTATGTCGGAATTTCCATGGTCCATCCTCCTCTCCGTTCGTCCAACAACGTCTTCTCGATCCCACTTTTCGCGCGTCCAGTGGAAATACAAGGACATCCAAGCTTTCTTAAATTTCGTCAATTTTTGTCTTTTTCTTTTTTATACTATAAATTATCAATCATGTGATTGCATTAGTATAACCTCTTTAGCTATCATTTATTTAATATTTCTTTTTCAAGTAACGGCAAGACACCCCTATACGATTCACGATAGTATCGTAATTCAGAGATTGTGACACATGTATATGTAGTTGCATATTTAATTTCCTAATCCTATGTTAGAATAAGATATATGCATTTTATTATTTGAATTATTTTATTTGTATTTGTATTTGTTTTTATTTTTAAATTCCAGCGTTATAGCTTGAAATACGTAAGTCCGATAATATTTTTTTAGCAGTGATCGTATATATATGTATATATATATCGAATTTAAATTGAGTCCGTAAATAAAAATTTTATGATTTAAATTAGTCGATAGATTATACATTTTTTATTATGATACACATTTATTATTTAACCTTTGGAAGGTAAATTTTAAAATATATATTTAAATTAAATGTAATTCTCCATTAATTTTTTTAATAAATTAATAAATATTTTACCATTAACATTTTACATTTATTAAAAATTAAAAATTGAATATAAAAATCGAAAATGAAATAGAATATGATTAAATTATTAAAAAAAAAGTCCAAACTAGAGTTGGTATTAGTTTTATTTTAATTCTCGAAATTTGAATTTATTTTAATTAATTGACAAAAAAATATATATATATTTAGATAAATTCGCCAATTTTTTATTATTACATTCCCAAATTATTTTACGACAGAACAATGTCTGCCTAGATTTGTTGTCGTATGCGTTCAAATTAGTTTGAGGGGTATTTTTGACATTTCAACCCCCAAAATACCCTCTCGAGTCCTCGACCGGTTTTCTTCTGCTTCAGTTCATTTCTCCGTTACTCTCTTCCTCTGTTGCTTCGTTCCTGATTCTGTCTGAAATCGAATTTAGGGTTCTTCTTACTGCAATCTCGACGTCTACCTATGAATTGCAATTGAAATTTTTTGGCGAATCGAGCTCAACTCTGTCCTCACTCGTGTTGAAATGTAATAACTTCCTTTTCCGCTCTTCGTTGATTTCTTCATCTTTTTTGTTTCTTCTCTGTATTAGGTTGCATATGGACGGGAAAGGTTAATTGTTTTTCCGCGTTTGTACTTTTTGGTTAAGAATAGAAGAATGCTTTTCTTTTTCTTTTTTTTTTTCTTTTTTTTTTTTCACCTTTGGTCAACTGTAATTATGATTTTTCTTATTAAATCCGAAGTTTTAAGGTTGTGTATTGGCGAGTTTCAAGTTTTGCAAACTACTGTATGATAGACCTGGAAAGCGTTTGATTTAGACAGGATGGGATACTAGATGTTTCCTAGGGCATTTGGTCCAGTAATTTAGTCTATGCTAGGATCGAAGACTGTGATCTTGCAGTTCAAACACACCTCGCACACACAATCTTGAACAGTCAATTCGGAGAGTAGGAGTTTTTATTTGTTTGTTTGTTTGTTTTTTATTCCACTAACCTCTTCATTTCTTTATTCATGTCATAGTGATTAGTAAGTCAATAGTTGACACTTGCAAGTTGTTGATATAATCGTACCAGGTTTACTTATTCCTTTCCTGAATTTTATTAAGCCCAGTTTCTCATATATAATGTTAGTTTTGGTGTTTCTTTAATTTTGGCAGTTGGTGCTTCTTTGTCCGACTGCCAATCCGAGTGGCATAACAGCCAGTCAACACAATGGCCTATGAATTGACTGAGCAAAAAAGTGAGCATTACATACAGTGTATTTCTAGCCTTAATGTGCTTCACTCATTTCTACTTGGTTATATCAGAGTCACCTCGTTTTATTCTTAACTATTCTCATTTCATGGGAATGGACATCTTGAAAAAATAAGGCATTCTTTCATGGAATTTCTTCTCTGTATTGGTTGGTTTTCAAGAAATTTGAGAATACTAGTGCTCTTGGTTCAGATCTGCAATAGAAAACAGTTAATAGGTGCATCTTTTTTCAAATGCAGAAGTTGGACTTGGGCTGATTGGTTTTGGCTTGTTTTTCACATTTTTGGGTGTAATCCTTTTCTTTGACAGGGGATTGCTTGCTTTAGGAAATGTAAGTTAATTCCAAAGTTCGATGTTGCTTTCTGTATTTATCAGGACCCTATTGTGCTCAACATACCTAATGCTTTTGTTATACATTGTCCTCTTTTCTTTTATTGTACGTATTTTATCAGATATTTTGGTTAGTTGGAGTGGGACTCTTACTTGGTTGGCGTTCTACATGGAATCTTTTTACCAACCGAGCAAATCACAAGGTACAACAAAGTACTTATTATGCCCGGAGGAGGTTTGGTCCCTTACTAGGTTCCATGCATCTCTTAGGGCTCCATACTTGCATTTATACCTTAGGTTTATACAATTATTCCTTAGGTTTTGTTTTTGTTAGATTTTCCTTTTCTGTTTTAGTTCGGCTCATTTTTGTGGAGGGGGTTTTTTTAATGTCCCTGAATTCTTTAATACCTTCTCAACGAAAGCTTTGTTCCATTGAAAAAAATGGCGAAGTACTTATCATGCCAGATTTAAAATTGGTTATACATTTTTTACCTAGTTTAGAAGATATTTCGAGGATAGAATGATAGGAGTAAAAGATAGTGGTATCAGGCATTGTTAGTTTACTGCAAATGTGGATCATGTAGATTTCTAGTAAATAGTGTGCCAAATAAATTAGATGAGACATTCAAAAGCCTATGAATTTCTGAAATTCTTTTGAGTGCTTCCCTCATTGATCATGAAATCATTTTTGTGTACACAAATAGAAGGATTTCGTCAAAGTTGAATAAGTGGATAAAAGGTGTATTTACATAAATCAGCATTTATGTGAATGTGCATTTATATATGTACGGATATCTGTTTTTGTAAGGATAACTATTTCATTTTCCGAAGATACTTCTCAAGGGGATCACAACTCCAAAAATAATATGATTTCCAAGTTAAATAGCAATATATATAATATTCTTTTTTTTTTTTCTTTTTTTTGATAAGATATTTAGGGATATATATGTGCACATAATTCAAGTGAAGGCTGATTTTACTAGATTCTGGCAGCCATGGATGGAAAGAACTAGGTCAACTTCCAAAAATCTAGATAGAGATAGTTTAACTATCCCAGGATGAAGATTAATAATTCTATTTCATTATTTGTCAACTTTCTTTTTATTTAAGTTACCCCGTCTTTAATCATTATCAGTAATTTCGCAATCTCTCGACTTTCAGATTAGATCCTTTTTATATCCTTTCATTTTTTTATAGGAATTGTCTGAACAACCTTTGGTGTCAGGAGACTAAATTTTAAAGATTAAAGAATAAAAATAGTCTTATATGTTGGAAATGTCATGAACTTGAACCATCTTTTTTAATTTTCAGGGTTCTGCATCCTTTCTTCTTGGCCTCTTCTTCATTTTTGTTCGCTGGCCCATAATCGGCATACTCTTGGAGATATGTGGCTGTTTTGTTCTCTTTGGGTTAGTTTCTCTAAATTTGAAACTATGAGCTTAATATCAATGACATCTCTCTTACACCCAACGTCTCTAATGTAGGGGTTTCTGGCCCTCAATTAAAGGGTTCTTGTACCAGATTCCAGTTCTTGGGTGGATACTTCCATACCCCATCATGGTATGGCTTAGTTCCTTTTGTTCATATGCCTCTTAGATTTATTTTCATGTGTAATGTCTCCTAGAAAATGATTTAGTAGCATTATTCATTCTTGGTCAAATAGTGGCCATTACTAGAGGGTAACGTTATGTACTTCTTCCCCTTACGGTTGAGCTGTGTAGTGTTTAAATAAATTTGGTTTCTTGATATTAACTTGTGGTGGTTCTTTTTTTTTTTTTTCATACTTGAAGAGTTATTTGCTAATCATACCATGTTCAACGTCCATTTGTGACTCCTGCCCAGATGAGGTTAAGAAATTTTGTAATTTGCCGCGAAATTATGGGAGGAGAAGTTAAATATTTTCCTTCTTTTAACAATTTAAAATGATTTTTGTCAGAGATCTCCCAACTTCTTTTAATGTAGATTGTAGTTTTATCATTGGGGTCCAATTATTAGTCGAAGATATTTGGTATTCAATAAAGTCTTGATATTTAATATTTCAGTTAGCTCAATAGATGTTCCCAAATAAGTATCAGATTCATGGCTGCTTGATCATATTGAAGAGCCTTCACTACTATCTCCAACCGTTTGAGAAAATTTTGTAGGGTCTTATTCTTTCTTTGTTTGATATTAAACAATTATCGCAAAGGTCCACGTCACTCATTAGGTGTTGGTATTTAAAGATTTTTGCTACTATTTTTTATCTCTTATTTAAAGTTTTATTTTTTTGACACAATTTTATTATAGTTGTTAAAATGTCTCTTTTATATAGCTGTCTTTTGTATTAGACTCTTTTTTATGTTGCTTTATTTTTATTTTTTTATTGTCCATTTGTTTACATCTGTTATAAAAGACTGTGGTTTTTCATAAGTATGAATAAAACCAAAAGATAGAAGATAGGTACGAAATGATCAAATCATCAACCCTTTCACAACTCTACTGGAATTTATAGAAAGACGATTCAAGCCTGCCATTGATTAAGGAAAAAAAAAACAACCGAAAAAAAAAAGAGAAGAAGAAAGTTTAGAATGAGGCAAGTAAAGATGAGTTAAAATATGTTTTCAGAGCGGAAGTCCACAAGAACACTTTTCTTTTTCTCCAGGATTTTTTTTTTTTTTTTTTTGCTTTAGACAGAAATCTCGAATGTATTTTCTCTAATTGTCAAGTAGGCACACAGACTTTGAAGTATGAGCTTACAGGTCTCCTAGACATGTCTATTTTGGTCCTGTAAGTTGAGGAAAATAACACAACCTACATGAGAGATTAACCCAGTCTTCAACCAGTGTAAATGGTTGTTTTCTCTGTTCAATGTCCCACTTCAAAAATACCCATTAGTTTGCTTTACCTCAATATCAGATTAATTTTTTTGACATCTGAAGAAATGGGGATATTTTCTATTGTTGTGGCTTTTGGTTCACTTTGTTAACAATTTGAATTACTTTGGCCCTGTTTGATATTCCGATTTTGTTTCTTTTTTTCTATTTTGAAGATTAAGCTGATTTATTTATCTCCCTGTTATTTTCTCTTTTTACGCTCCTTTTGAAGTCTTCGCGAAATTATAAAAGTGCATATCATATTGTTTTAACTTTTAAAATTTAGCTTTGATTGTAAAAGTAGTTTAAGACCGTAGTTCAAATGTGCAAGTAACATATAGAATGTAAGAATGGAGTCATTATCAAACAGATTGGCTCCCAGATTTTCTGATATATAATTTACCGCTTTTAAGAATTATTGCTGGTCTAGCTCTAAGGCACTGAATTGATTATTGCAGATTCTCGAAAGTTTGTGGAGAGGCTCACGTTAATCACTTCAAATCTGTAAGCGTATGTTCAAATGAGAGTTGACAACGAACTAATCCAATTGTAATTAGATTTCATCTTCAGATGCTGCATTTGAATGGAAGATCCTGAAGGTTAGTACATTGATTCTCAGATTCTTTAACTCTGAAAAAAAACACGGTGAAGCAGCAGATTCATAATATAGCTTTTGCATGTTGTTTGGAACTTCTTACGTGGTATACGTGCACTTTACATTTTTCTTTTGTGCTGAAGACTGGAACTGAGCATGAACATTAGCTCTCTCCCTTGACCTTTTAATCATTTTTTTTTTTTTTTTTTGGCTTATTGTTTCCAACTGTCTTGTACCAAATCATATTCTTAGAACATTCTTCCAGTTATTCATATGGCTGGCTGTTGGTTATCTTGTCTTTGAGGTTATTACTTATCCCTCTTGATGATGCTGTTTTTGTTGAAATATTTTTGGGGTTTCATTTGATTAACAGGTGCTGCTGTTTGGTTGTGTTCTTTATGAAATGAATTTGTACCTTTCTTTTGATGAAGTTGTGTTAAAAGTTCACATTGGCATTGATCTTGGTTGAGAAAATTTTGATGGTAGTTGGCTCAACAAGGCTATCCTATACATTAAAAAGCTAATAAATAAGATTTTGAGACTGGGATGAAGATTTGAACCTCGAACCCAAGTGATTTAAATGGAACATCACAAACCCTTAACTACCGCAGCTCTTGGGAGGCAAGAATAATCATGACCAACATTAATAACTATAAGGTTGGAGAAGTGCTTTAGTTTTGCATTTATTGTTGAACCCCCCAAAAAAAGTCGTGTGGTTTTGGGTTTTAATGTATGCAGCTGCAAATTGTGGGACCAAAATTGAAGTGTAGAAGCAACATCCTTGTGGTTGAATGCAATCAAGTGTGTGAAGCAATTGATTACAAGCACAGAGCCAAAGGGTGGCACCCACATCCTTAAATTAAATTCAACTATCATTGTGAGTAAATGAATCTTTATTCGTGAATGGCACTCTTTTTCTTACAAAAATGTGCAAAATTGCTCTTGTTTTAATTCAATTTGTTCTACTCAGGAGGCCTACTTTATTTTAAACTTTAGTTATTGCTAGCTGTGGAAATGGTCCTTCTAAAGTATAAAATTTGAGATTTTAGGTGTGACTAAATTGCAAACATGATCCTATTCAATTAGGATCGAGTCACATTGATAAAATTTAGTGGTTGATATTCAATATACTTTTTAATTTGATTGATATCTAGTTTGTTCTGTTCATCAAGATTAACTATATCTCAATTGATTAAAATATTTATCATTCATTTAGTGGTATATGATTTGACTCTTTGACCATCAATTGTCGTTATATCTAAACCTTGCTTTGAACTTTGTATTGCTGTTTTTTTTTGTATACTCTTTAACTTGAAAAAAAAAATAAATAAATATGTTAAAAATTGTCTTACTATTATTGGATGGACAATGGACAATGTTTATTTATATACTCCATCGTCTCCTCTTTAATTTCATCTCTCTTGTTTCAATTGATGACTAACAATTCTAGGTATACAGACATCTTTTCCCTCTCTTCTTCAATATCCTATCCGGAGATAAGCAATGCTCTCACTTCTAAGCATACCTCAAGAACTAGTTTGAAACTCACTTTCCTTCATTGGTTTAATTCTTATGCAAAATTTCTTAACAACCAAAGAGGATCAAAAACCTCAAGTTACAAGTATCAAATCCCACACGATGGATCGCCAAATAAAAAATAAGTGGTTAACAGAAGAGTATATTCGATTACTAGGGAACCCTATAAAATTGATCATTCTTTCTTTCTTTCTCCTACTAGTAGTCTTCAAAATTATGACCCAAATTCTCAAAGGTCTCTAGATATGAACGATGAATCGAACCGGGAACCGGGGAGGAAGGGAAAGACGAAGAAGGAGATGGAAATGGGAAGAAATGAATTTGAAGGGGAAAGATAATAAAAGGATTGGGAAGAAGTTAGGTGTTGAAGTTGTGAAGAGGTTGGCAAAAGAGTAGGTCCTCAAAATACGAGGTGTTTCATTCAATTCTCTTCACACTTGAGAAGGAAATAAAAGAAAATAAAGGGATATTAAAGGAGAGAGTGTCGGTATGGAGCAGTTAAAGAACATTTAAAATCCCATTAAATTGGATTCATGCCTCCAACAACAACCACACCACACACACACACACATACACATATATATCCAATTTATTGTTGTTTGTTGGATTTGGTAAGTAATGAACTTTAAATCCCTCATTTACTTCCCTCTCCTACTTCAATTTTAGTGCTTTCGCTTTAATTTTAGCTCACCCATTTAAAGTATATAAAAATTTTCGATCGAAACGTTAGACCTTCGAATCTCCAGCTACACGTTATGTAGACTAATATTTTTTAAAGATCATGATATTGTAATTTCGTCACATAATTGATGAAATTACAAAATTTATTCACCAAACTTTTCTAAATGGTAAGAAACAACGGTTTATGCATTTGAATTTTGAAATGTAATTCTATATCATCTCTCACTTTCATTACAAAAATGTAATTCTAATCGAGGTACATTTAAACATATATATTGTCTAGCCTTGTTGATTAAAAATTTCTAAACTTACTCATATATACGTTCGAATATAGTTTAGTAAATAAGATATCGTAATTTCGAAATTATCCTACGAGAGTTAAACTCTCTCTTCGTTGTCATGTGCTAAACGTATAAAAGAGAATGGGCTCTCTTGTAGCGTGTAAAATGTTTGAGATGGAATTTCTTTCGACTTTTCAAATAGTTATAATAATCATGACACTAAAATGATTTACATAAGTAAAGTCTGACATAATTTAAAGCTTAAATCGTTGAGAATTGTTAGAATCATGCATTGACTAATTAGAAAAAATTACGAGTATGTAAAAAGTAAACTCATGAAAATTTATGTTCAAAGTAGACAAAACATCGTATCAATGTGTAGGTTCGTTATTCCTAACATGATATTCAAGACATGCCCTTATATTCTTAGTCATCTCAATAGAATACTCAAGTGTCAAACAAAGAAGTTGTGAGTCTCAAAGGTGTAGTCAAAACGACTTAGGTGTCGAACAAATGGTGTATTTTGTCCAAGGGTTCTAGAGAAAGAATCGAACTTCAATTAAGAGTAGGTTGTTCGAGGGCTCCACAGAAAGAGACACTTAGGGGAAGATTGTTAAAGTCCCACGTTGACTAATTAAGAGGAAGATCATAAATATGTAAGTGATTGACACTGTTTCCATTTAGATGAGACATTTTTTGAAAAATGAAAAGTATAAGTTACGAGAGGTTATACTAAAAATAGACAATATCATACGTAAATAGACAATATCATACGTAACAGTCTGTTATTCTTAACATATATTTTAACATATATAATAGTACATGTGCGTAGGTCTACAAAGTATAGAAAACTCTTCATAAGAAGTCTATTAATTATTTTTTATGACAAACATTCACGAACGGTTTAGAGCTTATAAAATCAAATAATATATCATCTTTTGACATGTCAAATAAATAAAGAATAACGTACTACTATTGCACTATAAATATTTTCTCGCTCATTAATCTAGTAGCCCATTTAAACCACGTTGCATAGATCTAAGCTTACGTACAAATGCATGTTTTTTCTTTTTCTTCGAGAATCATCTAAACTATACAAAAGGTCGTTAAAATTTCATTTGTTATACTATGTTCATATTGACCTATAAAATGTAGAACTAAAGAAAATTTGTTTAGCATAATACTCAGTCCCACATCAGGCGAAGATAAGTACCTTCTCGTACTAAAACAGATGTCCATAGGATTGGGCAGAGATAAAAAAATCCTCCCGAGGAAAATTTTTCCAATTATATATATTTAAAATTATTCATTTCAAAGAATAATTTTCACTTTTTAATATAATTTTTATTAAAAAATATAAAACATCCTAATAAATCAAACCATATAAGAAGTATTTTATTTGTGAGGTTAAAAATTAAAGGAATACACAGACATGTCATAGGCTGATTTTGAATTGAAGTTTTGATATATGTATGATCAAGGGGGAGCGGGTGGGGTAAGGATTTAGGTAGGGGTAGGAATAGGAGTGATGACTATAATGACTGTTCTCGGTCTCATTTAGTTAACGGAGAGAAATCTCTCTCCACTTCCTCCTCATCATTCCTTACTTTATTTGAATATAGTTCTCGTGGATTAAATAGATATCTCTACATACGTATAATTTAAATTTAAAGAGGGAGAGGTGTGTAGATTTGAGGCATAAATGCAAAGAAAGATGAGAGAAGAGAGTAGGATTTTTGAAACATTTAAGTGATATCCACTTGTCAACTTAAATGCCTCTGCCTTCCAAATTTAATAACCAAAACTCTCTCTCCTTATGCATGTCTATGTGTGTGTGTGTGTGTGTATATATATGTATCACAAAAACATCACTTACACCAACAGGGTTTTACATGAACAATTATTGTTCATGGAAGCTCCTCACTTGTCTTTGGCTCCAACCCAGTTCATGAAAACCGATGACATCAATTCTTCATCCAACAAATTACAACAAACAAACTCCTCATGTTCTAGGAAGAGGAAGCTTCTTCTCCATCATCATCACCCTTATCCTCATCATATCAACTCTCAAACAAGTGTGGATCTTCAACTCAAAGACCCTCTCCCTCTTGATTGGGAGCAATGTCTCGATCTTCAGGTCTATCTCGTTTCCTCTCTTCTTTTACTTGCAATTCGAACCTGTAATTCGAGTCTTTAAAAATGTTATATAGGGTAACGAAATTTTTTCTTTTAACGGTTGAGTTATGTTCATATTGGTGATATACAGTCTGGGAAAATGTACTATCTAAACAGAAAGACGTTGAGGAAGAGTTGGAATTGGCCAAAAGAGGATCACCATAATGATGATAAGAAGCTAGACTTGGAGTTGGAGCTCAACAACATTGATTCTTCATCATCCAAAGCTAATAGTTTGATGAATTTCAGACATGGGTATGGAAGTTCTTCTTCACAAAGCAGCAATATGGTGGCTTTGCCTTGTCTCAATTGCCACCTTCTTGTTATTCTCTCAAAATCATCCCCTTCTTGTCCTAATTGCAAGCATTTTCATACCCTTTTTCCTATCCCTTCTTCTCCCAACTCTCCTCCTCCCAACACCTTGTCCCTCTTGAACTAGACCATATCACACGACACGACTCAACTCGACTTGACTCTACATGTTCGGGTTTGAAAAGGGTCTTTTTGAATTGAGTTGAATTTGGGGGTTTGGGTTGTATTTGATAATGAATGTAAAAAGTTAAGGTAGAGTTGTTGTAGAATGTTGTAAGTTGGCTAATTAAGAATAAGAATGTTGGAGCACTTTTTTCTCTTGGATCAAATATTTGTTTTCTTTTACATTATCTTTTCAAAGTTTTAGCCACAAATATTTTGATATTTAGATGATTTCACTGTAGCATTTAAAAATGGATTATAACACAAAGAAAACTATGAATAAATATGCTAAAGATAACATCTTGATTTTATAAAACAATATCATGGTCTTACATGTTAAAGAAAAAAAGTAAATATAAAATTAGTAATGTCCTATACTAATTTAAGATCTATGAAATTAGATGCAACTACTCTATGCACGTGCAATGCTTTCTAATTGTTTTTCTGTCGTCAATAAAACCATCATAGAGGTGGCCTCCGTCTGAATAAATTGGATGTGTAGTACTTCTTTACACACGACCCACACGTACGAGCATGAACCCACCGACGGTTTGCACACCTCTTGGGCCCATTATAGTCGAGTTAGTTGGTTATAGTCGAACGTCTTGAGGTACAACAAAACCTCAAATATCATGCAATGTGTCACGGTCATGCTTGTCCAAGGCATGTTGCCCATGCCCGCATGCCCATGACACACTGAAACTTTTGCCTACTTTATTGCTATCTGCTTTCTTTTGCCACTTTTATGTTGTATTATTTCTTTCTTATTTTCTTTAAGAGTATGACATTTCGGCTATATCATGGCTATGCTTGGTAGACATGAAATGCCTCAAAATGTACTATAGGGGAAAACGACTAGTTGTCAACTTCTCCCTACTCGATAGTTATATGCAGTAAGCCGTTGTTGTTGCCTTTTTGCTTACATTCCCATATAACACCAATCTCTCTCTCTCTCTTGCTTTCAAAACTCTTTTTCCAAAACCTCTCTTCCCAGCTTTCTAAATCTTCTCTTGAAATTGAGGCATGAGGTATGTATTCACGTTGCCTAATCGCAGGCAACGTAATTCGAAGTAGGCTTTACCCATTCAGTGTTGAGAGTGGGTGCCGCACAATCGTCAAATCCGCTGCCTAGAAACCGCAATTGTGATAGTTGGTATGAGAGCCTAGTTGGCTCCAAAGTGACCGGTAGACATGTCTTCGACTAAACAGTTGAACAAGTTCCATGTCGACAGATTAGTCAAAATAGAAGAACAGGTGCAATACTTGCGGGAAGTCCCCGATGGTATTCGATTTCTAGATGAGCGAGTGAAAGAACTTGCTAACAAGACCCTCGCCGCTCACGCAATAAAGGGTCGGCTGGATGGGTTACCCATTCAAGAAATAATGTATCGAATGGAAAACCTAGAAACAAAAACCACAAAGAATGGTAGTTTCGAGCGAGGAGACAGCTCAACAGCTCTGCTGGCCTGATTGAGGAGCGAGTCAATGGACTAAATAGCTCCCAGAAAGCGATGTTTCTGATGGTCATTAAACTATCTGAAGATGTGAAAGCAGCCCTCGACGTAGTCAGGGTAGAAGTGGCGGACATAAGCGCCAAAGTAAACGTTATTGTAAGGGCAGTGGAGAACCAAACCCCTACCCAGAGGACAACGCGACCCAACAAGGTTAAACTTCCTGAACCCAAGCCCTTCTTCGGGGCTCGGGATGCCAAGGTCTTAGAGAACTACATCTTCGACCTTGAGCAGTACTTTAAAGCAACTGACACTGAGGGCCGATGCACAATACACTTGGGAGAGACTAAAACAGGAGTTTCGGTCTCAATTCTTCCTAAAGAATGTTGAGATCATGGCCAGAAGGAAATTACGTGACCTTAAGCATATGAGTAGCATTCGAGAAAATGTCAAACAGTTCTCGTTACTCATGTTAGACATTCGACAGATGTCTGAACTAGATAAGATTTTCCAGTTCACACAAGGACTGAAGCCATGGGCGAGGTCTAAACTATACGTACACGACATAGAAGATCTCTCCACGGCCTATGCTTGGCCGAACAACTGTTCGACTTGAACAACGAACAGCCTCAAGAGACAAGGCAAAACCAAGCCTCCTCAAGCGGAGGTAACCGCGACCACACCTCTAATCCCACCAGAACGGGAGGAGGAGACAGATCGAGGATCGGAGGAGTTGAGACAAGACAGCCCAATAGGGGACTGGCGTCTTAGACAAATGGCCTCACAATCAGAACCACTTTAATCGACCACCTCTCTCTTGTTTCGGGAACCATATGGTGTATGAATGTCCAAAGAGGGCGTCACTATTGTTGGAATAAACTTAAATGATGAAGAGTAGTTTTTATTTTTAGTTAAGTTTAGTGGGTTAATTTCGGTGGGTTTTAAAATTGAGTCGTAAAGGAAAATGACAAACTGTTGAAAAAATGAAAGGCCAAAATTTATTTTAGAAAATAATGGATTTTATGGGATAGCATAAAGCATATAAATACGTTTGTTTTCCATTGTAAGAGCAGAGCAAGAAGAGCAAAAAGGAAATACAGAGTTAAAAAGTACATGCAATAGAAAAGGTTTCTTTTCAGTATTCTTAGTCTCCTTGTCTCTCCCCTCTCGACCTCTCCTTCACAAATACGAGAGTAGTACTTTCGCAAAGCGGTATCGGAGTGCTCGATTGTTAGTGAGTGTGAGATTACTTCACAGATTAGTGAGTGTTGTTTTAACAAAATGGTATCAGAGCGAGTTTTATTTTAACAAATTAGTATCAGAGCCGATGACGAATATGATGGGTCAAATGCCGCTACCGCGATTAACGAAGACGAATTACGAGAATTGGAGCATCCAAATGAAAGCTCTTCTCGGTTCTCAAGACGCATGGGAGGTGGTCAAGAAGATTTCGAAGAATCGAAGGATACCATGGGTTATACGACAATGCAAAACAAGGCGTTAAAACAATTGCGATCAAAGGATAAGGCGGCATTATACATGCTGTTCCGGGCTGTTGACGAATCGGACTTTAAGAAGATTGTGAGGGAAACTACTTCAAAAGAAGTGTGAGACACTTTAGAAAAGGTGTTCAAAGGAACCGACCGAGTCAAGCAAGTGCGTCTCCAAACTCTGCGTGGCGAGTTGTAGAGCATGAGGATGAAGGAGTCAAAAAATGTATTTGACTACATCATGTGCGTACAGACCGTGGAAAATCAACTAAATTAAAACGGAGAAATGTTACCCGAGACACGGGTTGTGGAGAAGATCTTGAGGTCGTTAACTGACAACTTCAAGAATGTGGTATGTTCGATAGAAGAGTCAAAGGACCTAGCGAAGTTCATGGTCGATGAGCTCGTCAGTTCTCTCAAGGCACACGAGCAACGTAAGAAAAAGGAAGAGACACTCGATCAAACACTTCAAACCAAAGCATCAATAAAAGATGAAAAAGTACTCTACTCTCAAAATATTCAAGGTAGAGGTCGTGGAAGTCACGAGAATGGTTGAGGTGGTCAAGGCAGCAATTATGAAGAAAATTTCAAGGAGAAGAGGCAATCAAGCCAAGCAAATTGGCGTGGAAGAGGACGCAATCAAGGACGCGGTCAAGAATATTATTCTAACATCCAATCTTATAAATGTCAAAAATATGGCCACTATGCGAATAATTGTTACTCCGACAAATGTTACAATTGTGGCAGAATGGGTCATTTTGCAAGAAATTGTCGAGCCGAGGAAAAGGTGGAAGAAACGATCAACCTAGCGTTGGATGACACAACAAACGAAGGCATTCTCTTGATGGCCCAAAATGAAGAGCTGAAAACAAAAGAATACAGTGGCGCGAAAGACGAAGGCGATAGTCGTGAGACGGTGGAAACTGTTGGAAATGAGGTGATACGCAGTGGATTTGACGAAATCTTGATAGCAAAGACGAGAAAATCGAAGAATGGTGAACAATCGGATAACAGAGATCCTGAGCTCGAAGAGAGAGCTCCAATGGTGGGAAAGACAATTTGAGGAAGAAAGAAGAAAGAAGAAAGAGGATGAGAATGGAAGACAAAATGGAAGAAGAAAAGAAAGATTTAGAAATGAAGGTTGAAAGACTAGAGAAGAAAGTGGCTGAGCTAAGTGAGAGTTCTTTCTATCTCAAACGGGAGAAGGAAGAGAATGGGAAGGTGATCTCAGAACTTGTGAAGAAAATTGAGGAAGGTATGAAGAAAGAGAATGACTTGTTAATGGAGATTGATGCTCTAGTGGACGAGCTAGTGAAGGAGGAGAAAGATATAGAGATGCTAACTCAACGGAGAGACTCACTCGACGTGAACCTGAATCGGGTCCAACAGGAGACGGTGAATTTACGACACACGATTGAGATAATCACTCATGATAAAGCCGAAATGGAGGAAGCAAAAATGGAAGTGGAAAATGTTGTTGGGGACTTGCGAAGGGAATTGACTAAATTGAAAGAAGTTATGACGTCTGAGTCGAGCGTGGCTGAGAACGGGAGAAATGAGAAGTTGGTGTCTCAAATGGGTTCTCGAGAAGCTCCAAATAAAGTCTCATCAGAAAAGAACAAGCTTAGTTTGCCGCTCGAGGACAAGGAGAAGAAATTGAAGAAACCACGACTGAGCTCGAGAAAAAGAAAACGGCGCACGTGGAATCGTTGAATATAGCATTTAAGTTTATGGGAGAGTTTTGTTGGAATAAATTTAAACGATGAAGGGTAGTTTTTATTTTTAATTAAGTTTATTGGGTTAATTTTAGTGGGTTTTAAAATTTAGTCGCACGGGAAAAAGACCAAACTGTTAAAAAATGAAAGGCTAAGATTTATTTTATGAAATAATGGGTTTTATGGGATAGGTATATTTAGTTTTAGAAAGTTTATAAATACGCAAGTAGTACTTTCGGAAAGCAGTATTGAAGCGTTTGGTTGTTAGTGAGTGTGAGATTACTTCACAGATTAGTGAGTGTTGTTTTAACAAATTGGTATCAGAGCGAGTTTTATTTTAACAGCTACAACCGATTCAAGCCGCATTAGACGCAGACGCGGATGCAAAATCCAAGGATGAAGAAGCCGAGAAAGTGCTTAACATAGAAACACCTCGGATGGGAGCCTTGAAGTTCCTATCCGCACATCAAAAGAAGACAAGGGAACAAAGAGAGCCGATCGAAAAAGGTCTCATGTATGTGGAAGCGTGGGAGAATCACAAGTTGGCCAAGAATATGATGGTTGATTCAGGAGCCACCACAACTTCATGACCGAGAATAGCGAATCGGTTGAACATCAAATGGCATTGAGACTCGGGGAAGATGAAGGTTGTCAACTCTATGGCCTTACCAATTCTCGAAATAGCGAGGAAGACGACACTTAAGTTGGAAACATGGAGTAGCTTGGTGGACTTTGTAATCGTCAAAATGGATGACTTTGATGTGGTACTCGGGATGGAATTCCTTTTGGAACATAAGGTGACTCCCATACCCTTGGCCAATTGCCTAGTCATACAGGGTCAACTCCACGGTTGTTCGACAAGTATCAAACAGCCCGATGGAATCAAGATGATTTCGGCACTCCAACTTAAACGTGGTCTTGCACGTAATGAACCAACGTTCGTGGCCATTCTAATGGTGAAAAATGAGAACGGTTGACATTATTCCCGTAGAAATACAACGTGTACTAGAAGAGTACTGCGAAGTAATGCCAGAGAGTCTACCAAAAACTTTACCACCTCATCGAGGCATAGACCACAAGATTGAACTGATACCGAGGTCGAAACCCCCAGTAAAGAATGCTTATAGAATGGCTCCACCCGAGTTAGCAGAGCTACAAAATTAGTTGGATGAACTACTTACTGCTGGATTCATCAGACCTGCGAAAGCCCCCTATGGAGCCCCAATATTATTTCAGAAGGATGGGAGTCTTCGCCTATGCATAGACTACCGTCTCCTAACCAAAATCACTATCAGGAATAAATACCCTCTACCCATCATTACCGACTTGTTCGATCAACTACATGGTGCAAAGTATTTCTCGAAACTTGACCTAAGGTCGGGATATTATCAAGTTAGGATTGTTGAGGGAGATGTGCCCAAAACGACTTGCGTCACTAGATACGGGGCCTTTGAATTCCTAGTCATGCCTTTTGGGTTGACTAATGTCCCGACCACATTCTGCATCTTGATGAACCAAGTCTTCCTCGAGTATCTCGATAAGTTCGTGGTAATCTATTTGGATGATATAATGGTCTACAGCTCCATCATGGAAGAGCATGAACACCACCTGCGGTTAGTTTTCTAAAAGTTGAGAAAACACCAATTATATGTGAAGAGGGAAAAATGCGCATTTGCACAACAGCGAATCAACTTCCTTGGACACATAATAGAAGCAGGCAAGGTAGCATGGAAGTGGAGAAAGTCAACTCATCAAGGACACATAATAGAAGCAGGCAAGGTAGCATGGAAGTGGAGAAAGTCAACTCATCAAGAGTGGAAGACCCCTCCTCAGTGACAGAAGTGCGCTCCTTCCTTGGGTTGGCAAATTATTATTGGAGATTCGTTGAAGGATTCTCGAAGAGTGCAAAGCCCTTGACCGAACTACTAAAGAAGGGAAGCAAGTGGAGCTGGACTTCACTATGTCAAGAAGCATTTGACAAACTTAAGAACGCCATGATGGAAGGCCAGTTTTATGGATTTTCGATGTGACGAAATCTTTCGAAGTTGAGACGGATGCCTCAGACTTCGCCCGAGGGGGCATCCTACTGTAAGAGGGACACCCCATTGCATACGAGAGTCGGAAGCTAAATGATGTAGAAAGAAGGTACGCAGCATCCGAGAAAGAAATGCTGGTTGTGGTCCACTGTTTACGATTTTGGAGACAATACCTCCTCGTAGCCAAGTTTGTAGTCAAGACAGACAACAGCTCCATATGTCACTTCTTTGATCAACCCAAATTATCGTTGAAGCAAGCGCGTTGGCAGGAATGTGTGGCCAAATTTGACTTCCAGTTCGAACACAGCCCAGGTAAAGCAAACCAAGCTGAAGACGCCCTAAGTCGAAAGAGCGAACATTTGACCTTGTGCATGTTAGCTCATCTACAAGGCAACAAAGCTTCAAATATCATGCAAGGTGTCACGGTCATGCTTGTCCAAGGCATGTCGTCCATGGCCACATGCCCATGACATGCCAAAGCATTTGCCTTGTACTACTTTATTGCTTTCTTTAGTGCTTTCTTTAGTGCTTTCTTTTACCACTTTCATGTTGTATTATTTCTTTCTTATTTTCTTTAAGAGTATGAAGTTTCGGCGATGTTATGGCTACGCCTGGTAGACATGAAATACCTCAAAATGAACTATAGGGGGATACGACTAGTTGTCAACTTCTCCCTACCTGATAGTTATATGCAGTAAGCTGTTGTTATTGCCTTTTTGCTTACATTCCCATATAACACCAATCTCTCTATCTCTCTTGCTTTCAAAACACTTTTTCCAAAACCTCTCTTCCTCGCTTTCTAAAATCTTCTCTTGAAATCGAGACCTGAGGTTTGTATTCACATTGCCTAACTGCAGGCAATGTAATTTGAAGTAGACTTGACCCACTCAGGGCTGAGAGTGGGTGCCACACATTCACCAAATCCGCTGCCTAGAAACCGCGATTGTGACACCAGACATGATTGTAAGGATTAAAAAAAAAATGACCAGTCACCGAAAAAGACGCAAAAATTCTGACAAGCCACCGGAATTCTTGCATCCTCACCCTACACGTTTCCCCCGACGCCAAGAATACGCCATGGACCTCCAGCCGCACCTTGTAGAATCCACCTACAAACAAAAATAACATGATATAGAGGGAAAACGAGGGAGAAGAAGAAAAGACTGTTGAGTTATCTCATGACGAACATGACGCCAACAACCTCCCCGTCAAGAATCATTGCATCGTATAGAGTAGATAATGTCATGGAGGAGAGGACTAACGAGCCAGGGAACACCATGATGCACACGAGTGATTACTATTAAACGATGTCATAGCTTTGATGGCCAAGAGGATGAATTGATAGTCAGTTCCACTCTTTGTCTGAATCAGCTTGTAACACATTTGGATCGTGAAAGTTTGAACCTTAGTGTAAGTATTCAACTGTGCAAATATTCTCTTCCGAAGCTCTAAATGGTACATCCTCAACTGTGCAAATATTCAACTTTGGATCGTGAAAGTTTGAACCTTAGTGTAAGTATTCAACTGTGCAAATATTCTCTTCCGAAGCTCTAAATGGTACATCCTCAATCGAATCAGCTTGTAACACATTTTGTAGATGAAGAATGAATGCTTGTTGAATCTTCTTGACTTTGGATCGTGTAATAGGTTCAATTGGAACATTTGGAACACCGTGATCCTTATCACTAATAATCACTAATAGTGCTACTGATGAGTACATGGAAGGAACATGAAAATTTCTACAATAAGTGAAGAAAAGGAAGTCAGATGCCAAAAAGTTTTTATGTCTATGTAAAGAATGTAGGAATATGAGACATTATGGTATCCAAATCATATATGAACACTTAATCATTAAGGGAATTCTCTTATGTTAGAAGTAACCAACTTATATAAGAGTACATATATTGGAGTGGAGGACAAGAACGATTCTTTTACATCAAGGAAAGACAAAAATATTTCTCACAATATCCAAGAGGCATACAATCATTAAGAGAATGCTCTTATGTTAGAAGTAACCAACTTATATGAGAGCACATATATTGGAGTGGAGGACAAGAATGATTCTTTTACATCAAGGAAAGACAAAAATATTTCTCACAATATCCAATAGGCATACACTCCATTGTACACAGGATGTACAAAATATACAAAGATATCATCAATTGTAGCATAGTATAAACTTAAAACATTTAATGGTTGGTCAGATGCTAGTTTCACAAGCCTTCGGGAACTTTTGTATGACATGCTTCCAATGGATAATGTCATTCCAAGATCTATTTATGAACGTTAGAATATTGTTCAAGGAATTTGATTTAGGCTACAAAAAAATTCACGCATGTGTCAACGATTGTTGTCTATTTATAAATGAGAAAGAAAAGTTAGAAGGTTGTCATTATTGTAATACTTCAAGGTGGAAGGTTGATCGACAAACGAATTCAACCAAGCAAGATATACATGCTAACGTATGAAGATACTTTCCTATCATTCCACGACTTAAACGAATGTTTAAAATATATGAAGTGAATGAAATTTTATGATGACATTCTCAACATAAAAGTACTGATGGAAAGATTTGACATCCCATTGATTCTGTTGCATGGGAGTTGATTGATCAAAAGTAGCCTAAGTTTGTTATGGACTCTCGTAATCTTAGGTTAGACCGTTCTACAAATGGTTTTAATCCATTCTCCAACATGAGAAGTCGATGTAGTTGTTGGCCAGTCATGCTTGTTACTTATTCACTTGAATTAGGATATCTTCGATTTTTCCATCTGGATGAGTGAAAGATCGATCTACTAGTTGAAGAGTGACTGTAGTTGGTCTAGCTTCACCAATACCTAACTTTTTGTAAATAGACAGCGACATTAGATTAATGTTTGATCCCAAATCACATAATGATCGACCTAGCTTCGTCCCTCCTATTGATACTGAAATTGTGAAGAACCAGGGTCTTTCTCCTTTAGTGGGATCTTGTTTTTCAATATTGCACTACACTCTTCATCGATCTGCTAGTTGAAGAGTGACTGTAGTTGGTCTAGCTTCATCAATACCTAACTTTTTGTAAATAGACAGCGGCATTAGATTAATACTTGATCCCAAATCACATAAGGATCGACCTAGCTTCGTCCCTCCTATTGATATTGGAATTGTGAATGAATCGGGGTCTTTCCCCTTTAGTGGGATCTTGTTTTTCAATATTGCACTACACTCTTCATTCAATCGTACTACCTTGAATTCTTCAAACTTTCTATTGGTGAACACATCCTTCAAGAATTTCACATAATTTGGCATTTGATTCAAAGCTTCCACTAATGCTATATTTTTGTGAATTTCCTTAAATATATCCATGAACTTCTCAATTTTTTAGCTTGGTCAACGATTATATTCGGTAAAGCTATATTTGGTAAAGCTATATCCGGTAAAGCTATATATATAGTAGATGGTTAAATCTGGTAAAGCTATATATAGTAAATAGTTATATATAGTAGATGGTTAAATCTGGTAAAGCTATATATAGTAAATAGTTATATATAGTAGATGTACTTTCTATTCTCTGAATTCTCTCTTACTATACATACGTGAAGTCATCAATAAAAAATCCTTTTAGCCAGAGTTCTCCTTGCACTTTTCTCTATCCTGTTCTTTGTGTTCATCTAAATCAAGCGTGTGCGTTGTTGTGCGATCCTAACAACTGGTATCAGAGACAGGTTAAATTCACCACGATCTATAAAGATGGAAAGTTCAAAGATTGGAATTGAGAAGTTTGATGTATCCGATTTCAGTTTCTGGAAGATGCAGATTGAAGATTATCTATACCAGAAATGTCTTTATGAACCCCTGTTGGGATTGATGCCGGATACCATGACCACGGAGCAGTGGAAGCTCAAGGATCGAAAAGCCTTAGGGCTGATCCGGTTGACGCTATCCAGAAACGTGGCGTTCAATATCATCAAGAAGAAGACTACGTCAGATTTGCTGAAGGCGCTGTCGAATATGTATGAAAAATCATCGGCTATGAACAAGGTGTATTTAATGCGGAGATTGTTCAATCTACAGATGTCTGAAGGTGGATCTGTTGTGGATCATATAAATGAATTCAATATGATCGTAAGTCAACTGAGTTTGGTGGAAATTAATTTTGAAGATGAAATTGAAGCATTTATTTTGATGTCATCTTTATCCAAGTCGTGGGATACTGTTGTTGCCGCAATCAGCAATTTCTGAGGATCTGATAAACTGAAGTTTGATGAAATTCGAGATGTAGTTCTCAGCGAAAGTACTCGCAAACGAGAAATTGGAAATTTATCTGGTAGTGCTCTCAGTCTTGACCAACGGGGAAGAAGTAAACCAAAGGGCCCAAACAAAGGGCGATCAAAATCAAAGAACCGAGAAAAATCTCCAAATAGACCAAACGTAATGTGTTGGAATTGTGGAGAAAAAGGTCACTTTCGGACAGGTTATACAAGATCAAAGAGGAAGCAGAATCACAAATCTAGAGATGATGATGATTCTATAAATTCAACAGAAGACATTGGGGATGCTCTAGTCCTCAGCGTGGATAGTTCGATGGAATCCTAGATTTTGGATACAGGTGCATCTTTTCATTCTTCTTCAAATAAAGAGTTGTTCCGGAATTTCAAGTCTCGAAAGTTCAAGAAGGTGTATCTTGCCAACAACAAAGATTTGGAGATTAAAGGAAAAGAGGATGTTTGCATAAAAACTCCGGCAGGAAATCAGTGGACATTAAAGGATGTCAGCTATATTCCTGGTCTCAAGAAGAACCTGATATCTATTGGTCAGTTGGACAGCACAGGTTATGCAACAGAGTTAGGAAAGAGTTCATGGAAGATTATGAGGGTGCTACGGTAGTAGCACGTGGCTAAAAATCTGGAACCTTATACACCACTGCAGGGTGTATGAACATAGCTGCTGTTGCTGAGAGTGCTTCAAATTTAAGTCTATAGCACAATAGACTTGAACATATGAGCGCGAAA